CAATAAAATCAATTGGTTTTGCTTAGTCATTGTGTTCGACTACTTATGGACTTTTTGGAAATTGGAAATGTAAGAAGGACAATTGAGGAAAATGTTAGAAATTAAGAAAAAAACTGGGAAAAAGCTAAAAAACCGAACACACTCACTGTAATTTCTTTTGTGTCCGGGTACACAACAGTTATAGGACATGTTTCCAAAATGTAGTTTACTTACACAAAACCAAATACGCTTTGGGACCAATTTTATTGCCTGCATTTGATAACAACCCTGTCCAACCACTAGCAAAATGCAACAGTCGCTACTTTCTGTATAACTGAACTTGGCCTACAAGGCGACTAAGGCCTGGTGACGTCAAAGCTCTTCGGCCTCCTTCTTTTTTTCGGTGGTATCGTCTTCAGCCACGTTATACTCATCAGTTAATTCATTTCAGGTGGTGTCAGATGAAGTGACGACTTCCGATGGATTAGCAGTAGATTGGGTATACGAACACTTATATTGGACGGACACGGGTACCAATACTATTTCTTTGGCTAATTTTGACGGCCAAATGCGGAAGGTTTTGATTCGAGATAACCTGGAAGAGCCTCGCGCTATTGCAGTCGATCCTTTAGAAGGGTGGATGTTTTGGACCGACTGGGGTCAAGAACCACGTATTGAGAGAGCTGGTATGGACGGATCTCACCGACAGGCTATTGTTACTTATGATGTTAAGTAAGTTCCCCGTTGCTTAGAAGTTGGCCTTTTTATAATCCGGCAACTTTTAGGTGGCCAAATGGGCTCACTCTGGATTTAGTTAAAAAGCGTCTTTACTGGGTAGATGCTAAACTAAACACTATCTCAGTGTGCAATTGGGATGGTAGCAACAGAAAACTAGTGCTATTTTCTGCAAGCACCCTAAGACATCCATTTTCTATCACTACTTTCGAAGATTGGCTATATTGGACCGACTGGGATAGAGCGGCAGTGTTTCGCGCCAACAAATTTACTGGAAAGGATCTTTCGCCGATCACTGCAACAGAAATGGTTCAGGTAAGATTGCGATTATTTTTTATACTTTTGGTATTTCATAGGAGACGTTTGCAGAATCCAATGGTAATTCACGTATATCATCCGTACCGTCAACCAGATGCAGAAAACCATTGCCAGCCAGTTAATGGACACTGTTCGCACTTGTGTCTACCGGCTCCTCGGATTAAACCGAGAGCACCCCCAATTTCCTGCGCATGTCCAGAGGGACTGCGCATGCTCCCAGATGGACTCACTTGCGTTCAAGACGGTTAGTATTTGATTACAGTCTTGATTTTTCCTCCAACCCAATTGAAGTTGATTCAAACATGTTTTATTACAGTTATTCGATGATAACTTATAATTATTTGTATAAATTTGTATGCTTAAAGCAGTGGCTGATTGGTGTAACTTTTAATTCATTATGCTAGGAATGCCCTTACAGGATAGCTAATTGATTACTAAAGAAAAAGCTCCTCTGACTTTGGCCAGATTTTAGTTGAAGTGGATTTCATACATATGAATACAGGGTGACTCAAAATTGGCGCCTTTCTTTTAGAAAGGATTTAGATAGAGAACAAAAGACCCGGTTTGCAGCCAAGGAAAATATCCGCAAACGTATAAATGGTTTTCCATGCTGGGGGTTGGTGCTTGTTTCTATCAAACTCATAACGGTCTTAATCGGTGCTTATGAGCGCTGCCTTTATGATGAGCGCACCAATCAGATGCTCAATTGTGGCCACATTCACTTCATAAGCAATTTTTTTATTATACTACTCACAGTTAATTCCTTACGTTTGTTTTATCAAATATTGGGGCAATTTAAATTTTCTCGAACAGAACGTAAACTATATGCATGTTCGACATTGTTAACCATTTTAGGTTTTGAAGAGCGCAATTCAAAAACTAACCACAAATATTCTGTAACACTGATATGCTTGTTACCAAACAAAAATACCGAGCAGCGTTTTATTCGTAATGTTTAGCTATGCTGATAGTTTGAGAAAATGACCAATGAACTAATTTGAAATGTTGTTTAGTACCAAGGTTGAAGTGGCAAGGCTACCAGAAATAAACTGAATATAAAATTATCTTTCCATATTCTTCTCAGTAGGCCCTAGTAACCCTTTAAAGAATTGACGCCAATTTTGAATCACCCAGTATGAAAAATGAAAAGTGTGATTTTCAGATTATTGTCATTTTCATTTTTATTTTATTTGTTTCATTTTATTTGGTTGGCAGAATCTATAACGACCAGTACACCATCCCAGTCTGAGCCTTATACACCGAGAGTTGGTTCCCTTCCAGCGAGTGAGTACAAACTCCCCCCTGCTATCATCTATCTCTGTGTCCAACTGGTGGTGGTGGTTGAAACGTTTTCTTTTTGATTGTGTTTATAATATTTGCTTCTATTTTTGCTTGCAGTAGTAGAATTTTCCTCACGCTTCCTTCTAACCGTTTATTTGTCTTTTATCTAGTTAATCATCCATATAGACTTTCCATCTGTTATATTTTAATAGCACTCACAGAATTGACTTTACTAGCTTTGTTACAGCATATACTATATTCCAGTGTTTAATCCAAATAATTGCGTGTACAGCTCTGTACACCACGTTGTATTATCTGGGTATACTAGAAATGTGTATTTTTTATAGGGACAACTAATCGCTCCAAAACTGGGACGGGCACTAGCACATCAGAATCGGCCGATGATGGTGGAGTGGCTTATCTGACCATTGTCATAGCTTTATTAGTTGTCGGCGTTATGGCTATTGTAAGTAGAATTTGTCATTATTATGGAATGTTTCTAGTTTGGGTCTGGGGCACGCACGTCTTAGGCTCATATATACAGACTCGCCTGAGCTCAAAACTCAATTTAAAGTTATGATATGGAGCTTTAAAATGCGCACTCTTTTATCCCAAATATCATTTAAATTTCAAATTTTTGGCAAATGCGGAAATTCAAGATTAATGCGGATTTTGAAACGCGCTCTCAGCGTTTGAGTTATATTTAAAGAACCAGTTGACTTGCAAAAATCCAGTTGTTATTGCGGATTTGAGCCTTAAAATGCGTACTTTCCTTTGCCAAATATAAGTCCGGAATATTTGTAGGTTTCATGCAAACCACGGAAATACAAGATAAATGCTGGTTTTAAAAACCGCTCTTATCCTTTAGCCCATATTTAGGAAACCCGTTGAGATACAAAGTTCTACTTGTCATTTAGGGATATAGTCTTAAAATCTGCACTTTTTTATGCCGAACATAATTTAGGAATGTTTCCAGTTTTTATGCAAAATGCGGAAATTCAAGATAAATGCGCGTTTTGTAAACCGCTTTTAGACGTTGACTCATATTTATGAGACCGGTTGAACATTAAAGCTTTAAATGTTATTGCGGGATAGAGCCTTATAACGCGAACTTTTTCATAGCAATCTTTTTTAAACGGATGATTCTAGTTTTTCTGCAACATGTGGAAATACAAGATTAATGCGGGTTTTCAGAGAACTGGTTGAGCTGCAAGCTCTAGTTGTCATTGCATTAACAGGGTCTATCTGACCCTGATAATAAACATTTTTTTGTATTAACAATCAATTTAGGAATGCTTCTAGTTTTCACCCAAAATACGAAAAATTCAAATTTGCGAGGGTCTTAAAAACCGTTCTCAGTCTTTGGCTTAAATTTAGCGAACCGGATGAGTCACAAAACTCTATTATTTGAAATTGCGGTACAGAGCTATAAAAGGCGCACTTTCTTGTTCCACACATTATTTTTTGAATATTTATAGTTTTCATATAATATGCGAAAAATTTAATTAAATGCGAGCCTGGAAAACCGCTGCTTCCCTTTGACTGATATTTAGAGAACCGTTTGAGCACTAAAGCATTAGTTCTTATTGCGAGATAGAGCCTTAAAATACTTACTTTTTGATACAAGAACATTATTGAAGGGATTATTCTAGTTTTCACGCAACCTGAAAATTCAAGAATGTGTCTTAGTTTTGGGTCATATTTACAGAATCGATTGTGCTGTAAAGACATAGTTGTCATTGCGGAATGGAGACTTAAAATGCACATTTTCATTCAAAACCAATCATCATTTAGAAAGCTTCTTCGTTTTTACGTAAAATGCGAAAATTCAAACTTAATGGGGGTTTTGAAAACAGCTCCTAGTATTTGGCTGGTAGTTAGAGAACCGGTTGAGCTGCTAGCTTAAGTTTTCATTGCTGCATAGAGCCTTAAAATTCGCACAGTTTTCTTACTATTGACCATTTTAGGATGCTTTTCAGTTTCCACACTTGAATAACTTGACTTGATAAACGAATTTAGTTTTAGGGTCATATTTATAGAATCGGTTCCAATTTTCAAAAATCTAGTTGCCATTACAGTATAAATCCTTAAAATGCGCATTTTTTTAAATAAAACATCATGTAAGGGATAATTCTAGATTTCACAAAATTCACGAAAATTTAAGAATTCAAAGAATGGGGATCTCGACACACGCGTTAGTCTTTGGCTCATATTTACAGAATCCGTTGTGCTGTAAACATGTAGTTGTCTAGTTGTTATTGCGGGATATAGCCTTATAAGTGCGCATTTTTTATATCAAGCATAATTTTCAGAATGTTTCTAGTTTTCACGCAAAATGCGGAAATTCAAAGACTAATGCGTTAATAGTTTTAAATCCGCTCTTAATCTTTGGGCTATACTTAGAAAACCGTTTGAAATGTAGCTACGAAAATAGTGTTACCAGAACATTTCTAAAAATTACGCAATGTTGAATAGTATATATAATATATAGAAGTTTGCAAAAGTGCGCACTTATTTTTTTGCTTTTCACATGCATTTTGTTCCATCAGTATGTATGTTTGCAGTTTCTTGCAGAAACATGTACTTTGAAATAGGACTGCTTTTGATTAATCTGAAAATGACCTTTAACTAGATCAAACATTTGTTCCAGAGTTCTTACACATAAATGAAATGTATTTTAGGGTGTCTGGTTTATTTACCGTCATCTGATGCATCGCAACGTAACATCTATGAACTTCGACAACCCAGTTTACAGGAAAACAACCGAAGATCAATTCTCACTAGAGAAGAACTACCCAACTGTACAAAGGCCGTATTTGAGTACCGTTGGCGAAGAGGTAAGAGCACTAGCCTTGGATTATAATATGCCTAGATAATTTCAATTTATGGTGGAATGAATTACCGCAATTCGTTTGCTTTTGGCCGCAACAAGAATTATATTTCATTGTCTCTTGAAGCATTATTGTGAATGTGTTGATATATACTAATGTATACATGGTTACATGGATCAACTGTCCCTAATTATTTTAATATCAATATTGTGAAACGAAACGTGGAGGTTTAGATTGGGCGCGCATCGTATACAAGATGTTCGTATAACGTAATGTGCATGTTCATGACGTCATGCTAAACGAATTTTTTTAAAAAAACATTGCTCAGTGTGTCAGAAGCAAACTTGTTAAAGGCGCGGTGAAAATGTTTAAAATTCTAACTCCGATTTTTTCAATAAACTGTTGATTTGGACTTTCCTATTTGGTAAATAACCACAACACTCGTTTTTTATTGCAAATTCTACAACTTGAATTTTAGTTTACTTTAACAGCTAGTTGTTTTCTTGCCCGTTTACGCGTATTTATTTATAGTCGGCGGTTAATATACGTTTATCATTTAAGTCCTCGGGTTTTAACAAGAAAATCAATAAGTCCTGAATCGGTATTTGGACCAACTTAGTTTGGTTCAGGCCCAATTTTTTTCCACAAGGAACAACTAAATAAAAAATATAAAATAGAAAGCTCCATTTTAAAATTATTTTCTAAATTTACTCTTGAAATATTTGCGCATTATTGCGAAACACTCTGTACATGTTTAAGTCTTGAGGGGCTTCAAGCTATAACCGGTAAATGATGTGAATTTCTTGCAATATATGGTTCTGGTTTTAATTTTTCTTGTCGTTAACAGTTCAAAGCCGTGAAGTAATCAAACTTTAGAAAAATGAGACGTTTACCTTTATCTGAAAAGATATAAGGCGACTTTATCACCTGTTGATATAACTGTCGAAATGAAACTTTTATTTCTGGAAAGTTTTGTGTGTTCCCGTTTCAAGTATATGTTATACTTGAAACGGGAATTGTGTAGAAATTTTTTAAATTGTGAATATGAGACATCCTAAATATATATTTTAACACTTTGTGAGATAATGAAACATTGAGAACCGCGTAAGTATGGAAGAAGCAAAAACACCTCACATATTGGATAGTTGCTAAAAGTGTAACACAAGCTCTTAATTGTGTATATTATAAATGTAATATCTTTGTATATTGACGTAACTGTAATTCTTGTTGTCTTATCTTATTTTATCAATTTACTTTTGTGATTAACTTAATCTAAGATCTCCAGTCTTTAAATGCTCCTAAGTAACTAAAAGTATTACTAGCTTTCCCTAAATTACAATATTTTTGTATCTATTTTATGAACAAATAACTGTGCCAAAAGTATCTTAAGTCATTTATAGCATGGTGTATCAAATATTCGTGTAGGAAGTTACTATCAGTATTCTGGAATTCTGGTAAATCATTAAATAACTGTTTTTGCGAGAAGCACAACAGAAAGTTTAACTCATTTCCCCGTTTATAGACTAATCCAGTGGTATTTTTATTTTGTTTGAAATTTGAATTGAATTTACGATTATTTGAACCAAATAAGCCCAATAATAGATTAAATTCGATAAAGATAGGTATGTGCGATCGAACTAATAAAGAAAAACCAAATAGCACAATACGGACACAACCTAAGTTGAAATAATAAGAAGGCAAATCATTATAAACCATTTTCAATCATATTTGCCAGAATTCCTTTTATTATATGTGAATCGTAGGTATATTTATAATAGCAATGTTTTGCTCTCAGTGTATAAGGCATTTAATTTATAAAGAGTGTTATAAATTTAATAAGTTTTACCAACTTGCATCTTTAATAAAAAAAGTTCTTTAAAATATTTATTCGCAACGCCACCGTTCCTTTTTAATTTAATTGCTAGCATATTAATTATTGGACGTCGGGTGATTAGTTTCATGAAACCCTTTTTTGCCTAACGGTCGATTCACGAAAAGAAACCAACACAGTGATATCCTGATACATTCAAAAATTCAGAAGTATTGCTACAAGTATTAAGCTACATTGCACCACCTTATCCATCAGCTCTAAACAAAGACAACGAAAAGTTTCAATAATCGCATACCGAAACTGTGAATATGTGTGCTTCATGAATCTTTTTGCTACGTTTAAAAAAGCAAATGTCGAAACTGTGTCAAATATAATGCCGTCCCCTGAAAACTGCACTTGAACCTGAATTAATAATTCAGGACTTTTTGTAAAAATTTTATTATACAGGGTGATTCACAACCTTATGGACACAGAGCAGCCGCATGTAGAGGGCCTCAAAACAAGTCGAGTTTCCATTTAAGTTTTTTTTCAGATGGTTAACGAGATACTCAGTTACCTTACCGACGGGTAGAGGGTTTAAACAGCAGTCTACGTTAAAAATTTGAGCAAAATATCGCATAAGCTGTAGGAGTTAAAGAGAAAATACCAATAGTTTTTTTTAACTTTAACATCCCATATGGCGTTAACCATGGGCCTGAGAAAAAAAACTTGAATGGAAACTTAAGTTTGTATTGAGGTCCTCTACACGCCCTTGCTCTGTGATCATAAGGTAATCGCCCTTTATATGCAAATTCCAAATATTTTGACCGGCTTTCTATTGAAAAGGTTCCATTTTGAATACATGTTTGAAGGATTTATTATTATTAAGTTTATAACACCCAGTAACATACATGTTTCTCGTTTCCATATTAAATATAATTTATCAATCAACATTTTCTGTTTGGCATCCATCGTGATAACATTTTTGGTAAGTTTTAATGTTCTATTGAATATTAGCTTTTTATTTTTATTATCATACGCTTCTTTAGTTTATCGTTGTATTGTCCCTGTAATTAATAGATTTGATACATGTTTATTTTAATGCATTCAGTGGACTTTTTGGACTTGTGGAAGCGTCACATATTGGTCATTTTGAATTAAATCGTATTTGTGTGAACGAAACGCATATTACAATGTAATTGACTGAATGAAAATATAAAATTTCACCCAGAATATTAATTGTAAGTTCAACTATTTTGTCTTCTAATAGTATCAGTTTTCAAAAATTAAGTAAATAATAAGTCATTGCAACAACTTCACCATTTACCTAAATAGTTTGGATATTTATTTATTAAGGTGGTATATAATATTTTGTATTATTACAGGCCCAGCAACCACTTACCCTTGATCATGATCCTGTTTAATTGAAGACATCCCGTTAAGGCTCAACACATAAAACTAACCTATGCTCATTTCACTTTTGTGGACAATTTCTAAGTAGAATGTTCTCTTTATAAGAGACTTTAATATACATTCGACAATTTAGAACATTGTCAAGTAAATGTTCGAAAAATCGCAATTCGATATTCGTTTTTGGATATAGTATTTTATTATACTATTTATGGTGCTATACGATCGAACCATTGAAGTCACTTTTAAGTTACTGGGCACTAATTATTTAATAAAGGCAGAGTGGTATTCAGGAGAACAATATTTATTTAAAACGATTATTTAAAATGTCCTGAAAATTATTAACTAGCATATATTAAATTTTTATGGTGAAAACTTTTGAAATTGTGAAATTTTCAAATTGTTATATAACATCACACAATGCTTTAAGTTTAAATGTCCATGTGATCACTATATAGACCTACAAAAACATACGGATTTAACATCATTGTGCTATATTTCTATTAATAGTCCACTCACTACTTGTTGGGAAATAAATACATACATTTATTTAACTATTTAGGCAGGTTTTTATAAAGCAAGGTAGCTAGATGTAAGCCATCCCAGTAATCGTAGATATACATGTTAGGAAAAATATTATCTGCTATATGTTATATGAGTGGCAATCTTCTGTGATTAATTAATTTATGTATGTATGTACAACTAAGATATTTTTTACTGTTTAGATTGATTTTTAAATTATTTTTATTTATATTGTCTGTTCAACAGATCATTGAAAATGCAATATATGTATTAAAATTATGAAAATATTATTTTTCATTTACATAACATACCTACAACAATTATTTCCAAAACATTTTCATCCGGTTGAATATTCAACCATCCATTCGACGAGGACTGTTGAGCTTCCGAGTTCAGGACACAGGTATAAAATTGTGTTTGAAATATAATAAATTATTAATGATAACAATTTATATGTCGATTCCAGTGTTAGTGAGTGGCTATTTGACTTTTTCATAATTATAATAGATTTTCAGTGCTACCAAAATTGGGATAGTGCGGAAACCCGGGTATGTTGAATCATCGTGTTGACGTCTATATTTTTTTTTGTATAATTAGGTAAATTGACCAAGCACGATTTACTAATTATTTTGCGCCTAAGCCAAACAGGAAAGCTTACCTATCGAGGTTTAGTCAAAATTCGTGTAATGAAATTACGAGGGTTGTTTGACAACATTTTATTTCTCAATGGAATCTTATTTTAGCTCGATACACTTAGTCCAGCGTCTTTCCAATTTTTTTTATTCCTTCCAAATAATATAATTTCTCGAGGTCCTCAAAATATGCGTTTGTTTCAATGATGGGCCCAAATCTCTTACCGCCCAGCCATTCCTTCAGGTTTGGAAATAGGAAATATTCACAGGGGGCTAAATCTGGAGAATATGCTGGGTGGGGTAGCAGTTCGTAGCCTAATTCATGAATTTTTGCCATGGCGACTACACAAGTGTGCACCCGTGCACTGTCCTGATGAAACAGCAATTTTTTCGCGAAATGTGGCCGTTTTTGCTTCAAGTCAACATCGAATTTATTCAAAAGTTCTGAATAATAAGCGCCAGTGATCGTTTTACCGTTTTACCAATACCCTTTGGAACCATCTCAAAAACCCACTGTTTTGATTCTTCTTTGGTCTCTGGTATGTTGTGATGGATCCACGTTTCGTCAACGGTTGCGAAACGTCGCAAAAACCCGTTAGTATTGCGACGGATCATCGCCAAACATTCATTTGAAATGGTCCCACGGGAGCGCTTATGGTCGAGTGTTAGCAATCGCGGCACCCATCGTGTGGATAGCCTTTTCATATCCAAATATTCATGTAAAATGTGATATACCCTCTCAGTTGAGATGCCTACAGCCTCAGCCACCTCACGCACTTCGATCTCCGATCGTCCAGTATCGTTGCATGGATTTTATCGACCATTTCTGGAGTAGCAACGTTTTTGAACGACCTCAACGTTCTGCGTCATTTGTGCTGGTACAACCACAACGAAACTCAGTAAACCACTTTTTAACCATTTAAATTGATGGTGGCGACTCCCCATAGTATTTATCAAGCTTTTACTTCGTTTCTTTGATGGTTTTTTTACGTAAAAAATAATGCTTAATCAGCACTCGGAATTCGCTTTTTTGCATTTTTGTCAAAATTGACGAACTCATCTCCTTTCAGTGACTGTTAAACACGAACCAAATGACATAGCCTGCTTAAAATTTCACAGCAGTGTGTTACTGCGCGGGAAATCCATAAAACCCACTGACCCTCGTATCTACACTCTACAATTAAAAATAGTGGGTGTTGCAAGATACAGTTTTCCATAACAGTTATTTAAACCCATGGTTGAACTGCACCACCAGAGGAAATTCAAGGAAATGCTTTAGATTGCATCTCGAAGCAAATACATGCATACATGCTAAGCGTATTTCCTTGGTATGGCGCAAATCAGTTGATTTTATTTTATGAAAATTATCTTAAATTATCATCTTTCACACAAAAACACAGCATTTATAAAGAAATATACGCGGCGTAGATTTATTATTGAAAAAAATTAATAATTGCTGAACAGACATTTGAATAATTCTTAATTTTTTTTATTAAAGCGTGTGTTGCACGGAAAAAATCTTAGGGGCTCAAGTAATGGTTCATCATTTTTAGAAAAAAAATATTTATAGCATTTTTACAATAAGCTTTTCCGAAAAAGTTACTTTTAAATAACTGCTGCGGCGCAGTAGTAATTATTTTATTTAATAAGATTTGAAAGTAAAACATATATCAACTAACATTATCTGACACGTGCAATAACCCTGGTACATTGGAATAAGAATATTATTATGATAACATGTATAGTAGAATCGATAAGCCAAATGAAATAATGCTAGTTTGTATCGTTGATGCCCGCCCACAGGCTTCTATTTCCCTTTCCTGTAAAACAGATTTTGATTAATTTTTTGCTTGATGCAATTGAAGGATTTACTTACCAAATAATGATCATTATAGCAGCCAGTCAGTCTTCGTCGAGGTAGTGAGTTTAAGTAGAGCTTTTGGCAGGGCAGTAAAGTGCTATTCATTTCTTCATAAGTCCAAACAGGAGCTTTCGAAATTATCTCTGGGTTTGTGGTGTATATCGGTTTTCTGGTGGGTTGTATTTTATTTTCCACTGCCACAAATATTAAGTTACTGTTGGGAATACGCTTGACATAATATTTTCTGAAATAAAATACTTTGTTAATAAGTCTACTTTTGTTATAATAAATATACTTTTATTTTATTTATTACTTTTATTTGAAAGATTTTACCTTTCACTCGCTTTTAATTCCCCATGGTAATTATCTTTGATGAAAAGTGACTGTTGAAGAATGAACAAGTTGAATTTTTTTTCACATGCGAAGTATTTATCAGCATTGTTTTCGCTATCAGGATAATCTTCTATCTCTTCCTCCTCCTCATCGTCGTCATAGCCGTTATAATCCGAAGAATTTGACTTCTCTAAGAGTAATTGTTTATATATTGCATTCCCAAATAAAGTTTAAGAATTACCTTGAAGTTCCTCATATAACTCTTGAGCAAAGCTCCAAATGGGATTAATAGCTTGTAAAATACTAATTTCCGCAAGCGTGTGAAAAACTTTCCAGATAACCCACTTTATCGCATACGACGCAATTGAAATGGGCTAAAAATTCATACTTAAATTGGCCGAAAGAAAATTGAATTATCAATTGTTTACTGTGTTCAATTTGTTTCCTGAACTGGTCTCCACGTCATCCCAACTGCACAAAGCTTGATAATCATAAAGAGTTTTCATGGCAAAGACTCCCTCATTTAACATGGATTCTAATATATCCCCTTCAATTTCACCGAAGAATTGACCGGTTTCATTTTTTTCTGATACAATGACATAGCCTGAACTATCTACGACGTAACATACTAAGTTTTCTCCACATTTGTCGCAATTCGAACATTGATTCTAGAAATACTTTCAGTTACTTTAATGTGTCTCCCTCAATGTGTGGTATTATAGTTCACGAGTGGATTGCATCTTCAAAGGTGTTTTGTACGTGTTGGCTTTCAAGTTAAAGAACCTTTGAGAATGGAAGTCACTCTTGGTGCTTGCGAAACGTTAAAAATAAATTATTTTCTGCTACAGTCTAAACCCTCAAAAAATCTCAACAAATTGGCCGCTAAAGCCTGTATTTTAATAATATAACAACTTATGATTGTTGACCCTGATTGTTTTTCTTAAGTTGTCCAGTTCAATAGCCAATTAAATATTCTACGTGATTAGTGCAAATGTTATACCGATAGTCTTCTGGATACTTCCTCCACTCTAGATTTCAACTTAGTTTGAGAAAATTGGAAACCAACTACAGATCCAGGAGCTTCTATGCCTGCATCTTTAACAAAAATGGCGTAACTTCCAGTTACTAACATATCCAAGTTATTTTCGTAATTGAACGGTACAGAATAAACAAAAGATTCTGTATCATATTGGTGCTGTAATACTGCGCTTTTATACCATTTTTCGTCAATCGCTCTTGGATTAATATCTCCAAATTCTCTACAATTGATTTAAATATGATATACGTTAAATAAAAAAATAATCCATCACTTACTTTGATTTGGCTTTTGCCTTAGCATAATCATCAAAAATGTAATCCCATCTAGTCAAGCCGCTCATGGTGGCGACAAAACGAAGTGTTACATCATATTTATCAAATAACTTTCGCTCCATATGAGATTGAAACGTCCACTTTTCTTTAAATGGTTCATATGTATTTCGAGCATCGAAAATAAGTCTTTGCACTAGCTGTTTGTCACAGAAGTAGTCGTCATCATCCAGGGTTTTTCTGCCGCATTCAACTAAAATAATTTTAGAGAAAGGTGAAGAATTGAACAGATGAAGCGTAAAATATATGTCAAATTTTCTATAAAAACATGTAAATGCTGTAAAATAATAATGGAAAAGGAAATTATAAATTACACTATTTTATTAAATGACTAAAGGGAAAAATGATGAAATAAAATTATTTTTTTACATTAATGAATAAATTGAGTAGTTATTTTATTTTTTTGGCATTAAAAAAGGGAGTTTTACCCAAACTTTAGTGGCGAAAAAACGTTGGTTCACAAATACAATATAAAGACTATAACAATACGACCCATCAAACGTTCCGTTTTCAAAATATCGGTTAATAAAGAATAATTTGCTTCTTTAGTTTATATTGAAAAAGTCTGAAAATTTGTACGCATATTACTAATAACTTATGAGCATTTTAACTTCTAACTTCTACGCCAGCAGAAAAAACAGTTGATAAATATACCAAAAGTACATGTTCCAACAATGTTAATTTCAAAGAGTTAAGAAAAATATGGCATATTATTTGAAATTTTTAGTTGTATTTTGCAGCGAACAACAACATATTTAAAACAATTTTCTCACAATACAAATACAGTTTTATCTATAGAATTTTTTTCAATGGCGTGGAAGTTTGGGGCCGATAATCAAGGAGTTTTTATTCAATGGGTGAACGTACGAAACTCTTGTGAAGTATATTATAATAATTAAATATTTTCAAATTTTTCAGTCAATTTTCAAATTTAATTTCATTTTTTCGTTTAACGTAAAATATATATTTTAATTGTTCGTGTCACAACGTGGGTTTATTTATTTAAAAAAAGTAAATAACCTTCACCATAAACAAAAATTAATATGTAATTTAAATATGCTGATTTGGGCAATACTGTCAAACATTTTATTTTCTTAACATGTATACAGAGTGTCCTAAAAATAAAATTGTTTTTTTTTACCGAGAACCTATATTTAATGTCGAATTTATTCTAAAATTATATAGTTCAATATCTTCTTTCTGTCAGTATAGGTTTTTTTTTACTTAAAACGCTTAAATATTTTGGAAATTAGTGCCCAATATGAGAGAACAAAGTTGTAGTCAGTTCAGAAACATATGTTTTGAAATATCAGAAATAATCAGAAAATATGTTTCGACACCGAAATATATAATACGTGTAGGCTTCAAGAAACTTACATTGTTTTATATTTTATACATTTAAAATCAATGCTTTTGCACTTTTTAAATTGAAGACTGAGAGTTAATACGCTGATTGTGAATACAGTCTTCGCTATATTAACTTACTTTTTTCAATATCCTCAGACTCATACTGACGCTCCCACTTGAAATCACTATCATACATTTTTCCCAAGAAATGAATAAGTTCTTCTTCCGGAGTTTTGAACTCGTGCCCTTCCAAGTAATGGTATTTACAGTAGACCCTAAATTGAAAGTGAATGTAAATGTTCACATAAGTGATCAAAATTTGAAGTTACCATTTGGGATGAATTTTCCATTTTCCTCGAAAGAACGAAGTAAGATTTTCTCCTGTATGTCGATTCTTTTGAATTTCGTCGCCCACATCCAACGAATAATTTCCATAGCGACTTGGAATCGCGATTGCCAAAGAAAATGGCGTTTCAGGTAAATCAGAAAAATAGTAATCATAAGTTTCTTCTGATACCCTTCTATTGTCGTCATAATGATATTTGAGAATAATATTATGCATACTGCCTTCAGACCCGTTTACCAAGTAGGATCGCAGTTCCCTTAAAGTATCACTCATTTGACGCGGTAACTCATCTCCAGAATGCTGTTCCACTTCAGTTAAATCAATGCTGTTATAATTTTCTTTCTCTATACCCTCGAACACTGGACGAAGCGCTGGGTGCATTAGAACATAACCGTTGTTAGATACTATAAAAGCGAACGCATTCACTCCAATCTACAAATTTAGAAAATTATGTTTTTGATTCGTACTCATTTCACTTTTCTGGTCAAAATTTACATTCATCTATGGCATTAGTACTTAAGAACTTGTTGGGAGACAATTTTAGTAACACTTGATTGGACAATCGGAATTCCAATCTGTAGATTTACTGTTTCATCGAAACATTTGTTTGAAAATAATATTTTATAAACTCTCCCGGAAATCGCAAAATATTTATTCTCAGAATTATTGAATTAAATAATTAAAAAACTTAAATTCAGAAGTTTTAATTAAAACCCTAAGAATGAAATTAAAACCCTCTTTTGATATATGGTAAAATTTTAAAAAAGTTGCGCTAAAAAAGTGTTGTACCCCGGGTGCGAGTTAAGCTACGGCACTGCTAATTACATCAGAATCCTATCGTTATGATTATCACATTTACATGTTTGTTGAAGGTAGGGTTTTTTCACGAATTTTTTTCGTAAATTCAATTGCAATTCCAGAAACTTTAGCGCTTTATATTTTAGGAAATTAACAACATTTGAGTTGAGACATGCCTGGGGCTAAATCCTGTTATTTTGATTTAATAAGAATGTATATCGATCCTGTGCTAACTGATGAAAACTACTTACTTTGTATGGTCTGGTCAGCTTCCTAAACTCATCTATAGGAACATCAGTTCCTGCTACACCTAACAATTCTGCAGTTCTTGTATCATTCATTTTATTGATCTTTCTATCAAAACACGGAATAGCTGCTGAAGTGAGAAGTCTGTACGGTTCATTTATAGTTGTATCAGTTTTATCGTCATACTAAAATAAAAGCGGAAAATGGGCAGAAAGTTCGAATTAATGTAATTTGAGGATTGTTTAGCTCATTTCGTAAGATAACTGTGGGTGACAAGAAATAACCCGTACTGTAAGTTGCGCGATAGCTGCATAAATTAGTGCAGTTGAATTTTCCAGCGTTTTTAGCTCATGCAAATGTTTTTCGCCGTATAATAACGATTAAATAACAGACGCGATGCAATTTTAGAACCGTCTCATCAAATACAGCGGCAATGGAAAATTGTTCATTTGCTTGGTGTTTCAAAACTGATCACTTCAAACTCAGTATAGACATTTAAGGTGGAACTTTAATATCATCAAGAAGGTAGATAAAAAAACGACTTCTAAGGTTCTGCATGAGAAAAATCATATGAAAAAAGTTCAGATCCAAGACATACAAAACCCAAACATTTTTCTTCTGGCGGTCTGACAGGCACGATTGTGGTTGCAAAAATAGTTGCAGCGGGTTGCAGATGACGACTGAAAAACATTAATTAGAAATTAAAAACGTTCCTTGTGGCAATGACTTTTGATACTACCGTTGCAGAAGGCTTTCTTGATGGCATGTCTAGAACTGAAGTTAAAAATAAAAAAGTTATATCCAGTTTTTTCCAGGATTTGATGCTCAACGCAAATGATCGGCACACTGCACAAACGGTTCTCACAACGCTCTGGAAACTGAACTTTCCAGATATGCAAATGCATTTAATTATTCAAAGAGAAAATGAAGTAATGAGATGCAAATCAGTGGCCGGCTAGAAAAGGCATACCTTATTGCCACCTTGCACATGTCACTTTTAAAATACGAAAGCATTTCCTTTTATTTAAATATTATAGGGCGGTTAATCCGTTGAAAATGTTCAATTTGAAAAATATCAACTCCATCAAAATATCCTATTTCTGGTCTGTTTTTGATTGGTTTGTTAATTTTTATGGCGGCTTATGATTGAAATAAATTAAGCGTCCGGTATTTCAACTACCAACCGTTCACAGTCTCAACTTAAACCGCAGCACATTTAGAGTTATAATATTAAAGAAGAAAGATCGTCTAGACTGGTCACAAAACTTACAGTGTAAAATAGATAAAACATGTTCATCCATTTTAAGCAAAACAATCGTCCTGAATTAAAATACCTAACATGATATTATTTAGGGTGCAATCCTCACTCATGAACCAGATTGAAAATGTTAGTGTAGTAATTTACTTTACCGTTATATCTGCGTAAGCATGAGTCCAAGACACTGGATGGTCTAGTCCTTGTAACACCAAAGGTCTAGCTATTACATAAATATATTGCAGCACAGATGCGGTCACTTGTTCCAAGCTTTGAACATGAGTGTAGAAACCTAAAATTAAACACACATTTTTAATGCGTTAATTGCGAAGAAATTATACATACCCCTATTTGTGCACGATATCCATTTAATTTCTTCCACATTGGTAACTTCTTGACCAATCAGGTAAGTAAAAATTCTAACGGGAATAATTTCACCCTCAAAGAAATGATTGTGTTTCATGACAATATCGCTATAATTAGCGTTTACTCCGTCAGTTAAGATCATAATAGCCTGATTACAGTCCGTGCTATTTGCGTGATTGCATCCACGTATTTTTCGATACTAAAATAAGTATCATAAAAGGGTGTGATACTTATTACCCCCTCTCAAGGAAAGAAGACAAATGTGTTATCAACAGTTCACCTTACTGAGAAGATCAAAAGCCAAAACCAACGCCTGCTGTAGTCGAGTTTTACCATTTGGTTCCAACCTGTCTATGGCATCTTTGAAAACGTGGATATTTTCTTTCGTAGCCTGAATTAACTGATTTTCAAAACATGGCACGATGTAATCAGTAGTTTCCGAGTAATTCAAAACATTTACATAGTCATTATTAGAAAATGTGTCTAGAATGCTGTAAGCAGTTAATGCCCCAATGTGTTTTCCCATTCCTGAAGAAAAAGCAAATATTGTCTAATAAGGATACTTTCAGTTCGCTCAAAATTAACAAGAGCTATTGAAAAACTTTATAAGAAGATATTATAATATCCGAGAATTTTCGATGGGAATTCGATTCGTCTTCACAAAACTTCAGTTGGAACGCCAGGAGATTCGAAAGCAACATTTTCAAAATTACCGAAACTGGATCATTTTACATCAAAAAATTTAAATTAAATAAAAATTTCAAATAACAGAAGGAAGTAAAGCTGTCGAATTAAGTTCTTCCTTTTACGTTTGAGGTAACAGGGATACAGGTTGTCCCGTAAGCACATGATTGGGTGCCATATTTTTTGAATGATAACAAGACGATCTGACCTAACTTTTAGCAAGGAAAAATGTCTGGCTCCTTTGCGATTAATAATAAAAGTTCTTCAACAAAATTATCTTTGAAATATCAGGAGAATGGGACGATATATTTTAATGAAACTCGCTGTGAATTTGTTCCTATATAAGACACGTACATTCGCTTTGAGCAAGTAGTAAATTCTTGAGTCTCTTGGTACAAAATCTACTAGAACTTTTTATTTGGAGACTCGAATCTACTGTTTTTTTTTAAGTTGATGCACTAATTCTCTTTTAATATTTTTGTCCTCTTTGTAAAATATTGCAGCATTCAAAGTTTTTGCTGAAAAGTCGAATTCTATTCTCTTGGCAAGTGACAATTTTATACACTAATTAACAAAATTTAAATCAAGTTTAAAAAATTTGTTGTTTGTTAAAAATTTTGCTAAAAAGTCTCTTCACCTTTTTGCGAGAGGTCTGATGATCCCAATTTGGACGTTTTGGAAACGCTTCCAAAACTTTAACTTTGACCATGTCGGTCAGTTAAAAATTATGAAACGCTTGACTATTAATTTATAATAAGTCAAATTAATAAAAGAACATTTTCGTTTACTACGACGTTTGCTAAATTGCAGAACGTAATATCGGAAATTGTTAACTAGCAGTGAAACAACAGAACTAATTTTTTGCCCAAAGCTCTTAATGCTACAATATTTTACGCAGGGCCCAGAAATGTTCAAAGGGATCAATTAAAAAAAATCATTTAATTCCAGCTACCAAATAAAAAGCTTCTGGTAGTTTTCGTACCAAGTCACTTAAGAATTCCTCACTTGCAAAAGCGGATGAGCTCGACAGCTTCATCAAAACATGAGTCTTATTAAGAACACTTTCGCAGCGAATTTCATTAAAATGACTCGTAGAATTCTCCGTATATTAAAAAAAAAACAGTTTTTTGAAGAACTCTGACCCTCAATAAATAGTGGTTAGTAAAAGGTAGGTCATATGATCTTTTTCAACTCTATCGGAAGAATAGATTCCTGTATACGCAAATGTAAAAACATCCTGAATATTTAAAAGAATATTAGGATTTAAAAGAAAACCACAAGGAACTTGCAAAAACAATTTTCTATGGATTTACTGCTCACTAAAGACAAAGTTCTAATAGAAAATACCGGAATTTATTCATTTTGCTAGAGAATACATGGCTAAATTATGCTCTGTATTTAGAGCTTCAGTACAATTGAACCTAATAATTTTTTTTCAATGAAAATCATGCATTAAAACGAAATAAGTGGTAAAACCGTTGTTTTTAAAATCATTTTTTTAATTTAGAGCTAAATGAGCTGAAATGAGCTAAATCGTGATCTGTAGTGATGTGTAAGGAAAAATATCCCCATAAAGTTCTGCAGTGTGCCGTTTTATTCAAATACCTATGTGTTAAATCTAAAACGTGTACTGCATACTCAAAATTCTATGAAAACTTAACACTGATTTCATAAAAGAAAATATTTTAGGAAATGTTTAATAAATTAAATTCTGAATTACTTACCATCCATTGATCCTGAATTGTCAATGAGAATTACAACATCTTTGGTACATGTAGCGGCTTCAATAAACCAAGTCCTAATCCGACAATCAAACAAGTGTCTTTTAATTTCCTTTTTATCGACCCAATGCATAGCTTAAATTTACTCATTATTTACATCTCTGGTTACAATTAAGATTAATTGAAAATAATACCTGGGTAATGACGCATAATGCCTGAAGCGCTTCCAAAATACTGCCATGACAATGCTGGATCAGATTTGTAATTCTGAGCAAACACTTTATCTAACGCCTCTGACCACTGAATTGCTTCGGCAGCTTTATTTTCTGATTTTAAAAAGTAGCACTTTTAAATAATAAAAACGTTATAAAATGTGTAAACTGAAGCCTACCTTTGTCGTAAACATTTGTGGGTACATGCACAGAACTGTGCGTGGTATTAACAGGTAAATTATAAAAATGTGTATCATTATTTAGTTTCAGTGGTAAATACATATGCCGACTTTTCTTTAAGGATTTGGACAATTTTATTGGTTCAGCTCCTTCAATAGACGACCATCTTGAGCTGTGGTATTTAAAGGGTGCATCAGGCACATACTGAAAGTCTTCCGCTCTGTTTTCAGCTTCTTGCTGAATGCACTATAATTTTTCTCTTAGTTAAGGACAAGAATTAATGCAATTGTTAGTCAGTATACCCGAATGGCGTCCATTTTTCGGTCCATCATACTACAAATGTCCTCCTTTATTTCGGAAAGTAGAGTTGATGGATCCTTTTCACCTACACGTGCATTCAAAAATGCATATTTCTAAAATTATAGGAACATAATGAAAAAGTCTAAAGGCATTGACACACAATACAGTCATACAGAAATGCGGAAATTATGTGCAAACCTCAGTTTTTGGAAAATGGACGAAACTGCGTTTTACAGAAGAAGTCCTAGTTTAAACTAATACTTACGATAAGTCATATTTGGAAATTAAAATCGCAATGGTTCTTGCTTTGAGCTGTAAATATATTTCGCTTAAAAATTATCAGACATTATGAGACAACGGGGAGCTTGTAAGAATAGCTGTAGAAGTGCAACTTTTTAAAATATATTTGAAGTTGTTAATGAATAAAAAATGCAAGTCTCCTGTATTCCTTCAAATTCGCCGGTGTTTATAGACAAGTGAGGAAATACCACGTGCCAACTTATTAGTTACTATAGGCAAACATATTAATATATATAAAATCTTCAAATAGCGCAATTGACTGCTATCCACATAAATATTCGTTAAATAACTTTTACAATCAGCTAAAGGTGTAATTCGTAATAATACTTTCGATTGCGAAAATTAAAAAACTTTTTACACACTCACAAACACTGGTCAGAATTGAAATTAATTTTGTTTTGAAACACTAAAATTAATGGAATTTATAAAGTATATACAACGTTAAGGTGAAAATACATAAAAAGTCCTTTGTAAATTAAATTTGATATCAGCCGGAAACTTTAAAGCAGAATTATTATCAAAAACATGTAAATGTTAAATCGAAGACCAATTACCTAATAATAACAACTTACCTGTTCAATTTCAGTTATTTTTGTCACTTCTTTGCCTAACATCCACAATTCGACACCTATGGCATTTGCCCATTTTGCGACTCTATAAGGTGATGTTTAGAGAATAGTATGATAAAAGAAGTCAAAGAAGCAAAGATAAAATACTTACTCTTCGCCTTGCAAAGTACATTGCCCGTTTCTAGTCGATAATATAACCAGTAATAAAAACAGGGAAAACCGTGGTGCGTAAAACATCGCACTGACACATTTTCATTAGAAAAGCCTAGACTAGAATGTGAAATTGATGAAAATCCTCCGAGATCAGGTAGGGGTTATTTTTAGATTATATGACTATTTCAGGGGCCAATAATACGCATTCGAGCTGTGTGTATACTTAATAATATTCGCTTGAACGACTATGGCTACAAAAATAATTGTTTCACACACAACACACAGTTTTTAACACTTCCATCAGTTTTCTTAATAGTATATAATTTTTGCAATTTCAGTGTAAAACTCTTGCCTGCGTCGAGGAGCTTTCGAATTTAAATGGAAACCTTAAATTATTTCTGTTTTCAATCAATATCAACTTTTTATATCACTTCAGAATACTCTCATTTATAGTTCCTTTCCATATAGAACTGGCAAATTTCAAGTATAATTAATTCTACTTACAAATTATAGTTAACTTCACTCTTTTATTATTACAAAAAAAAATTGAAACAAGTCTAAAAAACCAAATAAAAAATAATAATTTAAATATACAAATGTAACACTTAAAAGTCATAATTTTTTGTCCATAAATTAATTAATAAATATGTTTCTGTTGTTTAAAACCTGCTCCTTCGATATAAATATCAAGTTCATATCAACAAATTCATACTCTTCAACAAATAAGAAAGTAGAATATCGAATCACCCCCATAAAACAGGAAATTAATATAATTATATCTGTAAAAGAAGTTATTATTATAATTACAAAAATATGATAATAGCTACTGTAATTTAATTGAAATTTTAGAATAATGTATGATGATTTTAAAGATAAATTAAAGCGATTAAACTAAATCTCCTACATACTCATAAGTTCTTGAGGTAAAGTTAATAGTTCACGTCATTTGATTAACAGTAAAATTATTTTATTGTCGGGTTGAAAACTCATTTTTCATTGACCGACAAATTCACCTCTATAGCGAAATAAATTGATCTCGTTTCCATTATATAATTCGATTTTAATTTCATCAGCAAGATTTAAAATAGAAATAGAAGCTAAACACATTCGTAATGAAATAAGGATTTTTTATGTGTACGCGCTGCACTTTTAAAGTAAAATAATATCTAATATACGAGAGATTTCATAAAGTGCAGAAGTCCAATCCATAACAGGCTTATTTTAGAAGTTGTCTTCTCCGGTCATTGAAAACGTCTTTTTGATGGCATAATTAAAACCACCTAAAAGCGCGTTACTGCTGAAAATATCCATTTTCAAATCGCAGGAAATTTTGATCACATTTCAAATCGCAGGAACATAAAAGGTTCTGTGGAAGTGTGGTAAAAAGTTTTAACCGTTTTAACAGGCGTCAAAATTATCAATTTGATTAGTTTTCCAGAATCGATGAAAAAAATAATGCCTACACAGTCCTGAATATTAAAAATTCCCAATAAGTAAAAAATAAAATACGTAAAAATGCGAGAAAAATGCTAAAAAAAGAAGACAGATAATTGATATACGATTACTTGACTGATGGTGCAATCGCAATTAGAAGGTGAACATGCGAAATGTATTTTGGATATAAAATATTCTTGAGCATAAAAAACATCTCAAACATCGAGTTCGTTCAAAAGCGCCAAAAAAAATAAAACCTGTTAGAATCGCGTCCTGACGAGATGAAGAAATTAAAGAGGTTTTATGTTTAATAGAAGATCAAACTACGTCAGAAGAAAATTCTGAGTCAGTCCAACAAGAATACGTATAGATTCACTTGATAAATCAATAAAAAAATTGGAAAACGTCTGAGGATTTAGCGTATGAAGTACGAATTCAATACAATGTTCCATTCCAAAATGAAGTAGAATTTTAAAATCAGGAAAGTATTTTCTAACTATTACATTCATACTTCGTGCAAGCCGTAACAAACATGTTTATATATTCTAATCTAAGTACTTTTTTAAATATTAACCCTCATATTTATTATTTATTACTGATTTGTCTTGACGACATAAAAAAACTATTTTAAAACTAAATTTTACGTCATTTTTATAATGAAGCAATAAATATATTTACATACCAACATTTCAAACAGTCAATTAAAAAAAATGTACATAAATATTTTTAAAAGAATGAAGAAATACATATACGTTGTTAGACAAAAGAAAACAAGATGTTATATAAAATATAATATACATAAGAATGACTTGTCGTGAGACCTTGCGTCATTTATGGCCGGCCCCTAAGCCTCGAATTTTTTTTACAATGTTAAATAAAATTTAGGGTACATAAAAACCGATTTATTTTCGCTGAGTAGTACTGATTTAAAAATGTTTCTATACTTGAAAGAAAGGAAAAAAATGAACGAATATTTTCTTGATTAGAAATTATGTTATATTGATTTAGATTATTTAAAGAATGTTACCCACATATTATAGAAAATAAAATAAACCGAAAAAAGCGCAAGAACTAAGTGCCAAAGTCTCGAATTTTAGAACAGTTATCCATGACGAAAAATTGTGATTTGAAAAATATGTGCATTAATTAGCTAGTGAATGACTGAGCAATACAGACACTGATCACCACAGTGTGATATACATATATTAAAAATCATTAAAATTAACTGAAAGTTTAATATTTCAACAAAAGAGATATTTTTGTTATTTACAGTAAATTAGTTAGCAATTGAAACAATCTGAAAACACACTTCGATTACCCTTTGAAAATAATATTTAGTGTTTGCAAAAATTTAATTTTCGGGAAGTAAAAAACGTTTTATAAAAACCTATTCACCCAATATTCATTATTAATTATCCATTTATCAATAATCGAACTAAGGACAAATAAGTTTGAAACAGGCTAATTTCACCACCCTCTATATACAGTATCCATTATAAGAAGAAGGATTGTAAACCACGGTTCTAATTTTAGGTACTTTAATAGTCAATTTTGAATTTACGTTCTTTTAACGTTCGTCAGCCATCAGCAAACGTGGTAATCACGTGAAATAGAGCAACTTTTGGTGACTTTGACGATTTAATCACGTGATCTGACGTCAATGCACTGGTTGGAAAGATTTTATTAGTTTTGAATTTTATCAGCAAAAACACTGTAATTTTATTTGGGGATTTAGGACTACGATTCAGAAGGTTACAACTTTTAAAAGCTTTAACTTTATAAAACAAACCATTATGATATTTTTATACTCAAATGTTGCAACCTTGGATGTGATAGACTTCTATCGAATGTAATCGTTTGATATTTGACAATCAACCTCAACAAAACTAACCAAACATTCAAATTTGACAAGTTATTAGTTGTAATCGGACGTAAATACTCTCGAAAGGGAGTATTTAGTGTAAAAATCATTACGTATTATGTTGAAGTTTTCAAGAGAAGCCAAAGTGTAATAAGGAATATATAATGTCAGACTCAGAAGATGACTACATGTCCTTCAAATTGTTAGTTGATGGGTATGTTGGAGAAAACATATTATTTTATTTGCATTTTTTGATTTCAGTACTAGTCAAGAGGATATACGACCTAGTCTCTTAGTAAATAGAGAAAAACGTAAACATGAAATATTCAAAAAGAAGTTGGAGACGCCTTGTAAACGGCAAAAAACTTTAGGAGAGTTGGAGCAAGAAAATAGAGAAAAGGGTCTTACCACTGCAATATCAAATGAAAATAAAGGGTTCCGAATGCTGGAAAAGATGGGATATAAGTCTGGCGAAAGTCTCGGCAAATCAAGATCAGGCATCAAAGAGCCAATTGATATTGTCTTAAAGCAGGGCACTTCAGGAGTTGGACGGGAATCTCACACCAAGGAAATGATATCTAAAAGACAACAGCTGAAAATAAAGAACCTTAAACATTTCGAGACCCAGTTTCGGCTAGCCAATAAAGAAAGAAAAAATTTGGCTCAAATACGCAAGGACTTTTTTAAAGTCCAAAAAATATGCGAAGAACTAGATTTCAGAAAAGTAAGTTACAATATTAAATAGTTGCTTTATTATAAATTCTAATATATATATAACTAATATATCTCACACTGATTATCATACAAGGTGTTTAGTAAATCGCCATATTTCATGTGAGAAGTTTTCGTAGAGGTAATTTCAAATATATTTTTTGGTTGCACCATTTTCGCGACTACAAGTCGTTATAAAAACTCACTTAAGGCTAAAGTTTAGTTAAACGAGCTTAAAGAAACTTTAAGACTGATGGTAGTGTGCAATAAATCGGTTTTAACGTTTTTTCACAAGGAAAAAAGCGTGAAAGCAAAACAGGGTTGGGTCTTATTTTTTATTTCAAAATTGTTCAGAAAACTGTAAAACCGGGTTGGACAATGAAACAAACACTGTACAAAACTTGTATTATTGTGGGTGAAAAGCAAACGTCACCTGAATATAATTTATTGAGGAAATATCCTCAAAATTAGTTGTACAATAACGTCCAGGAAGTAATCCATCTACTTGCCAAACACCCTGTATAGTCTAGTTTTTATTGAATAAATTAGTACGTATTTCCAAATCAGTAATTCAAGCAACAAGCTTGTTAATCTTTTACAGTTCGGTACCTGTAATATTATCAGTCGTTCAGAGATGGTATAACAAAGTCATACCTGAATCCTGATTGGTTTTTAATTTTTTTTTGTTTTATTCAAATATCCACAAAAATGAGTAATGTTTTATAGTGCTCTTCTTTTAACCAGCAAGACATGGGGGTTTGAATGGAAGAAGTTGACGCGCCCCGTTTGTAATTATTCCACGAGAGCAGAAAAATCCCCTTGGCACTAGAATTAATTTAAACGTTTTTTTCTCTTGAAATGTTTCTTATTCTTTGGTGATTAGGCGTATTCATATGCATTTACTAATTATACTTTATATGTTTCAACAACAAATTAGTCATTTATCAGTGCTATTGAAGTATTTTTAGACATTTTGCTTGGTTTGTGCTCAGATTTTGGGAAAATTTACAAGATCGATTATCTTCGGCAAGTCGAAAGTTTTCAGGACGACCTCCTGGAAATTAGCGATTAAACACATTTGTAAACTATTTAAAGATTGTTGCTTATTTGCAGTATTAATTATTTAAGTCCGCAGGCTTGCTTAATTTAAAATGCATTTAAAACTCTTGTTGAAATACCTACCAATTCCAGTTCAATATACTTTCTTAAGAACAAATCAAATTTAACAATCAGATGGACAACTGAATGTCAAATATCTCAGAATGCTTAATTAAATTTTAGTAAAATACTTGCATATAGTGGGCTTATTTTGTTTGCTAACGCTTTTGTAATATTAAATTTATAGCTTTGTTTTATTTCAGAAAGTCAAGGATCCAGTAGAAGAATTTTTTTGGACCAAAGAAACAATAAAAAAGCGCCGAAAAATTGGTAAAGAGTGCCTGTATACAGATACTGATAGTAGCGACGAAGACGACGAGTTTGAACAGTTTGTAACCGAAGAAAATTTATTCGCAATAATTGATTATATTAGAAGTCAGTATCTCTATTGCCTCTACTGTGCAATATCAGCTATTGATATTGAGGAGTTGAACGAGAATTGCCCTGGTCCCTATCGTATGGATCACGATGACGAAGTGGATTAAATATTAGCTGTACTATAATTAGTTCAGTAATGAAATTAAATTGATTAATTTTTCATTGTTATTTGTTTCAAAGGTTTTCAGTTTCTTTGTCAATCAACGTTCTGAAGATTGAAATATAAATAACATCCGAACGTCAATTGTATTATTTCATATCCAATTTTTCGATTATAAATAAAACTCATAATTGCTATGAATAAATTGTCTGCAATCCGAATGAAATAAAAGTTAATATTAGAAAAAGAAAGTTTATTCGTTATAAAATTATAACACATGATTTATGAAAATAATGGTGAGTAAATGAGAATTTATACTCAATTCAACTGCAACCTAAACTTAAATTTAAATAAACTTATGAACAGTTTGTATAGATAGGTTGCATACCTAGCAATAAATTAATTTAAGAACAACACTACTGTGATCCTGTTGAAAGGAGCGCCAGTAGACCAGATGCCGCTCCAATAGACAAAGTATAGTTTACAGCTGGAGAGAATGATCTAAGAAAGTAAAAACTTGACACAATCACTATGGTTAAGAATAACGCATTGTTGTGGAAAATTGAGTAGGTGGTAGCCTCAAAGTCTGCAACTTCATTCTTCTGCCATAAGATCCTTTCGTCCTTTTCTTTTTTGCTCATTTTCTTGTCATCGGAGAGCTTCTTCAAGAGGTCCCTGGTTACAGCTTCCTCCCTTTTGACGGCAATCTTGTGCTTCAAAGTGAACTTGGTGTTTCTGTACGCAATTGCCAGCAAATAGGTTGAAACAGCGGTAAGGGCAACAAAAACTATAGCAGATGTGTAGATATCCATCATATGTATCCTCCAATAGAGCCATATGGGGACCGCAGATACTATGAAAGCATTACCATAAAACAACGCTGAAGATTTGGTGGACACGTTCCTGCTGAAATCCTGTAGCAGCAGTTCTTCCTCTTTGGTGAACCCTTTACTTTGTTGTTTGGACATATTTATCACTGGAATTTAACCACTTTCGGTTAAAATCGTATTCGGATAACTTAACACGCTTATAGTTTACACTGGAGACTGAGTAATATGCTCAATGCTCTGCTCTGGTAGGTAGTTTAGTTTGATTTTGACCACGTATTCTAGAAATGTTGATACAATTTCGTAAATTTTCTCCAACACATCAGTATCTGACAGGGATTGTGTCGACGTTGCCAGTGCTTGGATTTCTTTCCATTTTCAATGATTATACTTGAGATAAAAGATTTAACTTCGTAGCTTAAAACATTTCGCTTTACAGAAACTAGAATTTTTCACTACCACTGTATGCGTATGGGTCTACTGCTAGCATATATGGGCGTTAGCCTTGTTTGAATTAATAAATTATTACATGTATTATCAACATTTACTTCACGCGCCGAAGATTCGGCCAGTTTGGCAACGTCGCATCGAACACGTTGTCAGGGAGATTTTATGACGTCGACATGTCATGTAATAGATCAGCAGCCTACGTTTAGTTTCAAGCCAACTGTTAAGTTTCGGGTGAGGGTCATAGAGGGCACTCCTGCAAGTATGGCTGTATAAAAACACACGATCCTTTTTTTCTTTTTTCCTTATATGCAAACTGACGTAATTACATGTATTTTTACAAATCCATGAACTTTTGAGAAAAGTGAGGTCATTGGAAAAAAATTACGAAAATAGGTACAACCCCAACAAATACTTTACTAGAACACCTACAAACGCAACTGAACTAACGACTAGGACCTGTTTGTTTTGTAAGGCAAGAATTTTTTTATTTTTTTTCATCACTGATTAGTTAATACGAGTGTAAGGAATAGGAATTAATTTTAGAATAAGCTAGGCTAATACACATACGTACAACACAAGGGCAGAAAGACCGATTGGGTCGATAGCCTTTTTCTATAGAAAATAAAGATTATTTATATATATAATTTATTAAAAATGTAGTTCGGCTACGGGTTGAAATGAACCAATTGTATTTTATATGCGGGGCCTGCGATGATAAAAACAAAAATTACCGAGCATTGGATTCTTGAGATGCCTGCAACTTTTAATGATGGATGTTCAATCTGATAGCTCAATGCGTAGGTGCACAATTTTTCACCATTTTTTGTAAAACGAAATGTACGGCTTTTTTCTACGACTAGTTTCATTATATACGAAAGTAAGGATGTTTGTTCGCAGTGGTGGTTATTATTGGTGGCGAGGTTGGGCCAGCGGTCATCCAAAATTGGTCTTGCCCAGCCATTCGCCCAACCACTTTTAAAAGTGATATAAATAATTGCGAATTAAAAAAATCAGACCAAATTCGACAATAATGATAGTACTAGTGAACGTAAAAACATTCCGAGTTGTTCGGGAACTGAAAAGTAAATTTTTAAGTAGGTACTTATGGTATTAATCAATAATTTTCTCATCTAAATATGGGTACTTGTTTCCTGCTAGGACAAAAACCAAATATTTTCATATAGAGGAAAAAGAAGTCATTGATTTGGCTCTATCGCTACATGAAATTTTAAGACCGTCGCACTAGTCTTAGCAAATTTTCATAAAAAACAGTATGGTTGTGATCTTCGTACTTTTAAATCCAGTTATTATATCATGTATCCTTGGATAAAGTACATCATTCACAAAGATGCTGTATTCCGTTTTCCCTTGTACATTTTTCTTCGATCAAAGGGTGGAACCAGCAGTTTAAGTTGTGTTACTGAAGGCTACAGAACTGCGAAAGGGCTGCAGAATCAAAAGCTGGGTTTGAAAACACGATTTAGTACATTTAATCCATCTACCACCATTTTTTTAACTAAAAAAAATCATTTAGAGTAAACTATAGATTCGTTTGCTGCTAAAAATAATAATCGAAGAATGCCTCTTCTAATGTTCTGCCTGAATAACTATTTCATTATTGCATTATTTTACTACCTTATTAAATTTTTATTCAATGTTTATAATGTTATTCGTTAATTTACCTAAATATTTTAAATCTACTTTCGCTTAGTAAAAGGATTTAATCAATTCAAAAAATAGATTCGTTTATAATAGTTTTTATTACATTTCTATCCAAGATTTTATTTAGACATTGTAAAAAGACTGAAGCTTTTCACGGTGGGTGAACCAAGCGGTTGAAAAATTTCGAGGCTTAGAGGCCAGCCATAAATGACGCAAGGTCTCACGACCAGCCATTCTTATGTATATTATATTTTATATAATATCTTATTTTCTTTTGTCTAAAAACTTATATGTAGTTCTTCATTCTTTTAAAAATATTTATCGACATTTTTTTTAATTGAAAGTTTGAAATGTTGTATGGGAATATATTTATTGCTTCATTATGAAAGTGACATAAGATCTAGTTTTAAAAGAGTGTTTTTATGTCCTCAAGACAAATCAGTAATAAATAATAAACATGAGGGTTAATATTTAAAAAAGTACTTAGATTAGAATATATAAACATGTTTGTTACGGCTTGCACCAAGTATGAATATAATACTTAGAAAATACTTTCCTGATTTTAAAATTCGACTTCATTTTGGAATGGAACATTTGTATTGAATTCGCACTTCGTACGGTAAATCCTCAGACGTTTCCAATTTTTTATTGATTCATCAAGCGAATTTTTAGGTATTCTTGTTCGACCCACTCAGAAAAAAAATATTACTGTATTATTTGTGTGCTATTGGGGACAATACTACTAGTGTTGTAGCGAATTTCATTGAGCATTTGTTTCCAACGTAATAAAGTCTAAAAAAATGTTCACAGTTGTGAAATATATTTTGGAACATTTACTTCGTTATTCTACGAAGGTAGATAAAAAATCTCGTATAATATTTGTATTGTAAATTGGACACTCAAGGTATTGTCAAACTCTGTTAGCTCCTTGTTTGACAAAAACATGTAGTTATAAGTGCTTACTAAAAATGCAGTAATTATAAATGCGCAGCAATTATAAATCTTTGCAGCGCTTTTATGTTAAATAAAAATAACTAAAAAATATTTTACATTATTTTCGGCCAAAGAAGAAAACAAAATATTTTGTAGAACAGATATATTATATCCAACTCTTGCAATTAAAATTATGAATATCTCCTGCCCAGCTTGAAAAATTTTCCGCCGACTTGCGCCCAAGCGCAAAATAAAGCTGGCGCCGCCACTGGTGGTGCTTGAGCGTTTGTTCCCGGTGATTTGAAAATGTTAATTTTTGTTGAATCAGTTAAATTATGGCAATAGAAGTTAAAAAAAGGTTGAGAAGTAAGTCATTATTGACCGAGCAGTTTATTATAAAATTAGCGAATATTTGAGAGCCAATTGATTTAGGCAAAAGGTAGAAAATATAAAAACAATGAAAACTTAACAAATCTATCATTATTTAGCTTGTTTTTCTAGAATTTTTATTTATCTTACCATTGAAATATTACTTCTCATTAGGGAAATCGAGCAAATTAGCGATATTTCTCACGTGGTAGTTAAAAACAGGGGCGGATCCAGCTTTAAAGTCAGGGGGGGTTCATGTAGAAAAATACATTCCGTCCGTTATCTTTGAAATTAGAAAAATGATCGTCGTTTTGTGCAAGGGTGGCGCAAGATTATTGCAAAATTTCATGTTTTCCTTCTCGTTTTGCATGTTTCTCGGAAGCAAAATGAGCAAGAACGCTCGTTTTTACATCAATCCAGAGATAACTAAATGGCCTTTATTCGAAGTTTCTCAA